TGCCAAAGAAAACCATATTTAATAAGTCTTGGTACTATAAGAGGGTTTAGTGAGACCAATTGCTCTCAATGCAATGGTGTAGTAATGGTGAGGCCGCAGAACATATTTTAGTTCTTGCAGACAATTGGTGGTCCACAGACCACAGATTGGGAACTACTGATTTAAATATTTATTTTATTCATTTGCCATACTTGTACCCCACCCTTCTCTACCCCGACAGGGACTCAAGGTGGCTTACAATGGCACAACATGGTGTCTCAACACAATATAGAGGTTGAGATGGTCACCTCTCAGAGGTGCATTAGTTGGCTAATAAGGGACTTGGACTACATGGTCACTGGGGTCCCTGTGATTGCAAAGAATGTCCTTTACATAGGATGTTCTACTCTTTACAGGGTTTTTTTTAAAAAAAAAAATCTGTGGCAGATACGTTAGCAATCCTAATTCTGCACTAAAAGATTCAAGCACAGATTTTTCCTTAAAATAGCCTCAAAATCCTGAGCCTTGAATGAAAAGATCTGTCAGTATCATTTTCTTCCACACTTGATCTTCTTATAATCCAAGCTTTCTTCCATCCCTAAGATACAGAAATGTGCAGAAATTGGTACATTCCTTTAGAACAAACCTAAATGAAATTATATGGAAATCCCATCTGAAGAAAAGAGGTTAGGGTTGGGAAGAGAAGTGACAGCATACCTATTTCTCCTTGCTGATTTGTACTACTTGTTGTTGTTTCTCTGTACCTTGTTTCCAACTTATAGTGACCCTATCATGGAGATTGCTAGGGCTGAAAGTATGTGACTCATCTATAGTCATCCACTGGGTTTCCATGACCAAGTGAGGAATCAAATCCTGGTCTGCAAAGTTTTGGTCCAAGGCACAAAGCATTATTCCACACTGGCTCTTCAATATTAGGCCACGATTTAAGTCACCAGATTTGGATTTCCAGCTCCAAATCCACTTTGGCCTCCAAATGAACACTAATCCCCATTTTCATCTTTTGTGTTATTTCAAAGAAAACAAATAAAAAGCATTCTTGAGTCTGCAAAAAAACCTGGTTTTTAATCTTGCATAACAGAAGGATAGTAGATGTGTGACAAGTTGCAACCACTTTGTGTATTCACTGCATGGGTAATGTAACTGTCCTATTGAGGAGCATACCGAGTTAAGAAAAAAAGAAGAAGAAAAACAAAGTCCTGAATCACAGTTTTCATGCTAAAGGATATCACATAACAAACCTTGCTGTGTCTATTTCTTTGCAATGTGAGCATGTTGCGTATGTGAGAGGGAGCTGCAGGTGTTTGTTGCAATCACAATGTTATCGCTGTGTCAATATTTACCCCACTTTGGTTTCAGTCATGGGATATAAAGCCCAGCCTTTTGGAGGTGAGGAGGAAAGTTGTCACTTTCCACCAATTTTATTTCTAACTAGCTGTACTCGCCATGCTTTGCTGTGGCCAACCTTCCCTCTTTCTCTCCTTCTTTCCCTCCTTCCTTCACTCCCTCTTTCCTTCCTTCCTTCTCTATCTCTTTCCTTCCTTCCCCCTTTTTCTTTCTCTTCTGTTGTCTCTCTTTTCTTCCTTCTCTCTTTCCTTCTTTCCTTCCCTCCCTCTTTCTCTACATCTTTCCCCCTTCCGTCACTCCCTCTTTCCTTCCTTCTGTCCCTTTTTTTTCTTTCCTTCTCTCCTTCCTTCCTTCTCTAACTTTCCTTCCTTCCTCGTTTTTCTTTCCCTCCCTCTTTCTCTCCTTTCTTCCTTTCTCTACCTCTTTCCTTCCTTCTCTCTATGCTTCCATGCTTTCTAAGGGATACACAACTTGTATAGCTGAACCTCACCTGAGCTGTTTCTTTTCTTTTTCAGACTTGAATGAATGTCTGGTTTCCTCTTCATGAAAAAAGCTTGGCTCAGACCTCTCTCCAGAATCTACCGAGGCTGATGGCTTTTGGATACGTCTCCCTGTGGCCTTGCGAAATGCAAGGCACAATGCTGGCTTTGTACTAAGTCTTTTCTACGGCCTACTGGAACAAAACCTCTTGAAGTATGCCTGCTCCGCTGTAGGGCAAAAGTCTCGCCCTAAGAGTTTGCTGTGCAGTGTGAAAAGGAGACAAGTGTGTGGAGCCATGAGGACTGCAAGTTTCCCAAACAAAAAGATAGCTGAGGGCAAACGTCCAGAAATATATAGGCTGTTGGGCGCTCCCATATGTCATAGAAGAGGGGTCTGGTTTGCCAAGGACTCTTCCAGAAAGCAAAATGCTGACTCTTGGAAGGTCTTCAAATTCTTGCTCTTTTCAACCTAGCCAAGTTTTCTTGGTCTCGTCTCTTTGCTGGGGTTTTCCAAGCGATTGTGGCAGACAATGTTTCTCAGAGCAGGACAGATTCTTCCCCATTGCCAGCTCCTGTATTTGTGCTGAGCCTAAAGGAGCTTCATATTTTTAATATAAACTTTTTACAGAGATTCACGTGAAGTCTCGGCTCTGTTTTTTTCCTCTCCTTTGCTTTAGTCCACCCTTTTTAAGTTTTCCCAATAGTGTAGAGACCTTTCTTTGTATTAGTTTTTGGGTGGAGCATAACCCCCCCCCCCCAAAGGCCAGTGTTAGCTGATCTATTCCATTTGCTTGTATAGAGCTCTTTTGCTGGACTATTGATTGATTGATTGATTGATTGATTGATTGATTGATTGATTGCAGCAGAGCTACAGAGAATAGAGGCTTGAGAATTGTCTGGTAATCCTAGYCCCATGTAATCCAAAACAGGCATCCTTAGCACCTGCATTCAGCAGTATCCATATACCAGCAGTCCAAGAGACAACAGAAGCTTTTTACCAGTTTAAGCTTCACAAGGAAGAAGARTGAGACAGTATACAACCATCGCTTTGCACC